CTGCATGCGAATTGGGAAGTATCAAGAGAACAGGGAAGAATTCTCAAAATGCATCACATATAAGAAATACCTTAATGAAGAACATATGTAATGCACAGAACCCTGTGTTTAACCCTCAACACATCCAAAATAAGAAAGAAACTATGTATCTGGCAATACCTATGTAAAACAAAACATTTCAAGAAAACATAAAATTGCTTTGAGATTCACTAATGGGTGAAAGTCTACAATCAATTTTGACAGTATGCTAAGTTAGAACCATAATCAAGAGTAATGTAACCCTTCGAAACGATTCAATCTTGTCATTTACACTACACAAACTGTGTATGCTACTGTGTTTTTAATTCAACCCAAAGTTCTGCAGTTGTTCCCTTTCATCATATTATCTATCTTTTATGTTTAGTACCCTTCACTTTGCCTCCTGGCCTCAGAGTCTAAAATACTTACCATATGGCCCTTTACAGAAAAAGTCTGCCAGCCCTGCTACGTGGTGGTGCTGTTCCCAATACAGCATCACCTGAGTGTCTTAACCAAACCTACTGAATTAGAGCCATGCGCTGCTCCAGTTCTTTCTCCAACAAGCTCCGCAGATGATTCTTACGCAAGCTAAAATTTGAAAACTACTACTTTGAAACCACAATGTTTAGAATGTTCTATCCTCTTGGATAAATTATTCCTTTGAATCAGAAAAAACAAAAACAAATATGGAGGGTCACCCAATTATTTAACTGTTAAAAAGATTAAATTTTAAACTGTATAAAGTATAGCATGAAAACTGACATCAACTGGTGGCAATTACTACCTCAATGGTATCCTGAAGATTCCTGTACTGACCATGTGACATGTTTACTAATTTCTAGAAAATTTAAGTTATTACATCATGATTGAAAATTAATCAATAGACACTTAGGTGATGCATATTAAAATAGGTATATATTATGCAAACCATCCTTCCTATTTCACTATATTTTATTATTGTGTCCATGAAACTATTACTTCTATATGGTGAGTATACGATATAAACACATTAGGAATTCAATAATCACTAAAAATAACTCCTAATTATATATTGAACTCAAATGAGTTTCAATTAATTTTTCATAATTTGGTAGATACAAAGTTGTAGAGAGAGTGTGTGAGTGTGTATCTGTGTGTATGTACCAAGAGGTATCTAAAATTATTCTGGGAAAATGGGGGAGGGGAACACAAGAGGAACTCTGGAATTTGCATATACTGCTAGTCATAGCTAGTAGTCCAACTTAACCATTCCCATTATCACCAGCCTCCTCAGCCCTGACTTAATTGCAGGAATTCTTCAAGCACCAATATGTATAAATACATGCAGTGAAAGAATTCTATTCCTCTGCAGTTTGAATACAGGCCCTATCTCAGCCCTCATTAAAACGAGCTCTGTAGGCAACTTATTTAGACAAAGCTAACAAACTGGTTCAAACACTTAAGTGTCTTTGTTAAAGAGAGATTGTTACCTGAAAACTAAAGAAAACATAGATAGGAATGAATGTAAAACATCTGAGATACTGGATACATTTCATACTTAAATTTCAAGTATCATAAAATTTTGTAATCAACATAAACTTTGTACTGCTCTGGTTTGAATGAGTTTGCTCTCTCCAAAATTAACATTAAACCAAAATTTCCAATGACAGATACTACAAAAGAAAAAAAAAAAAAAAGTTCTATTCTAAGACATAGAGACATAAGAAAAGGGAATGAATGTCAAAGAAGTGTGTGACATTATTGTGAAATTACCATTATCGCCAAGTAAGAGAGCAGCAACAATTCTACTACATGAATACATTGAATGGTTCCCTCAACAGTCCAACCTCTTCGGCCTAGCATGTAACATCTACCACTACTTGCTAACTGCACTTCTGTAATTTTTCTCTAGCTAAATGGGGCTTTTTAGTCATACCCTAGAAACTTCTTCAAAATTCCCTATTTCCACTTTTGTCATCCCCCTCTCCATAGTCAACAGTCTCTTTTCTCCCTTTTAGAAGAGTAACTAACCAACCTTGAGTCCATGCAACAGTTCTCTAAAACCTCTCTCCATCCCCAACACCTTTGTAATACTTGAAAAGATACTTTGTATTTCTGCAGAGTTCTTTATGTTAAAAAAAAAAAAAAAAAAAAATCTTACGTTGCTGTTTGAGACACAGGCTAACTTTTCCTTTTAATCCAGCTAGGCAGTCCAGGCTGGCTTCAAACTCATCTGTCCTCTTCATTCTTCTACCTCAGCCTTTCCCCCAATGTGGTGGGGTTATAGACTCATGCCATTACATCTGCTACTTAGACATTTACTATACAGTTACTTGTGGGTCAGATAGGTCCTAAGATTGAAAGAAACCTGAAGTATGGCTGTCTTACTCAATTTCCTCCTCCCCACAGTACAACTCATTAGATTGATTTTAAATACTGGATTATAATAACTAACATATACACATAAAATAACAGCTGTCTGCAAGGCTATATAGAAAACTTCTTTTTTTTTCTTCTGGAGAAATGTCATTGCCATAAAAATAATCTTTAGGGGTTCCACTTGGGGCTCAAACATGCTCAAGGCCCTGGTTCAATCCCCAGGAGCACAAAAACAAGACAGACTATCTTTAAAATAGATGCACCTTATTTATTTCTTTAAAAGACAGAGTAAAAAGTAATTTCCCTATCACTAATTAGTACATCTTAGAAGTTGTTACAACTTCAATGGTTCAGGTAGAAAATTATCTTCCAAGGTTTCAATGTTTTATTATTTTATATACCTTCTGATCATACAAAAATATCTTAACCACTGGAAATAACATTATAGAAGGAAACAGCTTAACCCATGCCCAATGAAACCATATATATGAAAAATCTCACAACTAGACTTTTCTACTCCAATGTCATCTACACCTCCCTGTCTACCAAACCATGAATTTTTTCCAGGGCCTATGCTTTAGAGTTCAAGAGCTGGAAGTAAATGGCAGTATTAATAATTTGACAAGCCAGGCAAGCATTGGTGGCGCACACCTTTAGTCCCAGCACTCAGGAGGCAGAGGCAGGCCTCTGTGAATTCAAGGCCAGCCTGGTCTACAGAGCTAGTTCCAGGACAACCTCCAAAACAATGCAGAGAAACCCTGTCTCAAAAAACAAAAACAAACAACACAACAACAAGAATTTGACCAAATTTTACTCAACACCTACTATTTGAAAAGTACTAGAAGAGAAAACAAAAACTAAGACATAAAATTCATCTCCTTAAATTCAGAAATAAACGTACAAAAGATACAAATAACCCCACTAGTGACTATGTACGGGCAAATAAATAAATGACATTCTTACAAGGTACCCTAAGAGCTAAGAGGAGGCAGAAAAGTTTTTGAGGAGCTTCAAAATAAGACAGGTTTCTATTTGGCTTCTCGTGTTCTTAATTTTAACCAAGCAACACCATTCAAGATTTGCAAGATTATTAAATAATTAAACTGTGTTGGGCATTTTATTCCCTAGTTTACAACTAACTTTGAATACTGATTGACAATGTTGGGCGCTTAGTTAAAATGAGTTTTAACTAAGCTTGGGGGGGCGGGACTTTTTTTCTATACTAAACCTGTACCTGTAACTCAAACCCTTTGAACAGGCAGGTTTTAATCTATAATCTGGATTAGTATTCATTACTAATTCTATTCACAAAGAAAGGGACATACACATGGGATAACCCTGATTTTACAGAAATCTGTTTCAAATATCAGTAGTATTCAATTAGAAGAAAACAAGTAAACAAAAATTTCTGGATTTTTTTCTTTTCATTCAAATCACCACCTTCCCCTCCAACTGTCTTCTTCCTACTGAACCCTGACTGAAAGGTCTGACTCAAAGCTCCAGGCATTTGCTCTTCCTGGAAACGCTCGTACATCATTTCTAGATTCAGGTACTTCCTTGAGGATTCAGAATTGCCAGGGCCTAACCCCGAACAAGCATCCAGCACGGTCCTGACAGGTGGAAAGACTCATAAATAACTTGCACAGGAGTCCGGGGAAGTCCGTGTAGAGGGACGCCAAGGAAGCCAGTTTTTAAAGGAGGAAATTAAGATAGAAGAGAGTGGACGCAAACAGGGGAACGTGTACTGAGTTGTTAACGATCAAAGGAAACTTTTCGCTCTTTAATTACAGGGCAGAATTATCCGGTGTTTTGAATTCTACACAGGTGAGCAGGATCTGATGAAAATTTCGGGTTCAGACATACAGCGTTTTATCAAACATTTGCTTCGAAACATGCAGTCTCTTGGGATTAACTAAATGCAATGGAACGAGCCTCATTATTAACGCCGATTTAGGCAGGGGGAATCCCGTGATGTGGTACAATGTGTCAATGTGTTAGTTTCCTGCTACCGTGGCCAGAAGACGGAAATCCAGAAACCCGCTCGAGCACCGGGGCCGGCCGCGCACACCCTGGTCACCCAACACTAATTCAACAGCTCGCTGCTCCCGCCAGCCTCGCGTGGCCCAGGGTCCTCCCCTCCGCCCGGGCGGCTGTCTGTCCCCTCCCGCGCTGGGCTGCAAGTCGCCCTCGCGGACAACTTGCCGGCTCTCCCCGCGCCGGCGCCGGCTGCAGGCAGGCTGGGGAGAGGCGGCGCCCACGGGGAGGAAGTTCCGCCAAGTGGTCGGGCAGGCGGTGGGACCGAGCCTGCAGCAGCTGCAGCAGCGGCAGCACGGCGGCCTCCCAGCCCCGGGGACGCCCCGCGCGGCCCGGCGCCCGGCAGCAGCAGGCGTGGAGGAGGGGAGGCGCGGCGCGGAGCCGGTGCCCGACCCCACCCCGCGCGCGACCCCGCCGGCCCGGCTCCCCGCGTGCGCCCGCGCTCCCCGGGGACGGCGGCATCGGGTGGGGGGGGGTTGGGGGGGGAGAAGAGCCGGCAACTTTGCACGAGGAAAAATGCCTTGGCAGCCTGCAGCACGCCGAGAGGGGGGAAACAAAAATGTCAGGCGATGACGGCCGGGAGCACTTACCCATGGTCCTCCCACAGAGTGAGGACCGGCGGGGCAGGGCGAGGCGAAGGGTGCGGGCGCGGGTGCGGGCGGCGGCGTCCTCCCTCTACCTCCGCGTCTCCCGCAGCCAGGGAGGGACCCGCGGGGGGCGGCCGCCGGGGAGGAGCAGCGGCTGCGGCGGCTGCGGGCGGCGCGGCCGCGGCGGGGACGAGCGGCGGGGGGCGGGGCGGGGCGGGGCGGCCGGGCGGGCGGGCGCGGCTGTGAGCGGGCGGGCGGGCGGGCGGCCGGGCGCCCCGCCCTCCCCGCCGAGCATGCTCAGTGAGGCCAGCTTCGCCTCCCGCCCGCGGCCGGCGAGCCTGAGCTCGCTGGGGGGCGTGTGTCCGCGGGCCCGAGCCGGGCAGCCTGACTGCTGTCCCCTCAAGGGCGGAGGCCAGGCTATCGGGGACAGAGTCCGTTTCCCGCCATCTCCTTCCCCAGGGAAGAGGGCCAGCTCTGAGCGTGCAGGACAGTGCAGCGGACTGGACGTCCCAGTCGGGCACGTGCGGGGCGGAGGAGCCCGGGGCAGCGCGGATGACCGCGGCCGTGTCCCCCGGACGCGCCAGGCTGTCCTGCAAGGCTGGCGGCAAAGCGGGGCAAGCGGACGCCGGCCGCAAGGTCACGGCCTTCCCCGGGCGGGCGTGCACGCCCAGAGCGCTTTAACGGGGCAGCCGTCCGGACGGCTTCTCCGGGGTGTGCCCGCCGCTCTCGTGCTGAGCTGAGCCCAGGAGGAAAGATGAGAAGTCAGGAAAATTACAAGTCATCGGCGGGCCGGGGTAACTCGGGGCAGGATGAGCCGTCCGGGGGCAGTGACCGAGGTGCTCCCGTCGCCTGCACCCTCGCCAGCGGGCATGCGCGTGAGGCTTGGACCGGGCTGGGCGCTCTGCATGGAGGGGGCGGTGGGAGACCTGCACTTGTCTCTCCTACCCCTGTGGAGTCATTAAGACCCAGACTGAGATCTGCAGGAAGAAGATAGCTGAACCCCGGGTCTCTTTCCTCAGAAGGGGTTGTCTGTGACTCTCACAGACAAGCCTCTAATATTACCTGCAATGCTCCGAAGAGCCTTTGGATGTATTAGGTCCTGGGAGTTTATGTGATTTTTCTGAAATAAAAACGCAACATAAATTCAAGACAGGTGTGATCAATTCATAGCAGCTCAAGCATCGACTGCTGTAGAAGTTAAGCACGCCTTTCTTGAAGAAAAAGAATTCTATTTGCCTCAAAAATCATCTCGCAGAAGTTCCCTAGGGCTGTTGTAATAAATCACTTCAAACGGGATTCGAACAAGGAAATTACTGAAATTCTGTAGGACTGAAGACAAATCAGGGCAGGGCATCTTCTGAGGGCACCTCTTAACTTCCAGTAATTCTTCGGTAATTCTTGTGACAGCATGACTCCAGCTTTCACATATTCTCCCTATGTGCTTATGAGTCCACTTTTACCTTACTTGTAAGGACATTGCTCGTGTAGATTGGGAAGGCCACCGCGCTATAGTATGACCCGTCGACTCAGGTGTCTACAATAACCTCATTTCTTAACAAGGCCACATTCTGATGTGTAGGGCCATAGTGCAGCCAGTAAGGCCCCAAGTTACCTCTTACAAGCATACACGTGCCATATTCTACTTTTTCCCCTTCTTTTTGGATGTTTCCCAAAGACCACCCTAGACCTTTGTGTCTTTGGGGTTCCTTCCTATTCACAAATGTCTTCTAGATTCTCCATTTCAACTTGCTTTAATTTTTCTGTTACTTCCTTTGCTAATTATATATCACAGTAATTTCAGGGTATCTTCTATCTTTCATTTGCATATATGAGTTGAAATTAGAAAAGTAGCTGGGGTTTTTTGTTGTTTGTTTTTTGGTTTGGTTTTTTTGTTGTTTTTTTTTTTTGTTGTTGTTGTTGTTTCTTTTTTTTTTTTTTTTTTTTTTTTTTTTTTTTTTGGTCCTCCCACCTGGCATTGGTTTAAGCATGATTTTACTCTTCTGGCATCTACAAGCCATCCCTTTAACTTTCTTACAATTTAAATCACAGGCAGTTCAAGTGCTTATGTTGAACTCGCCCCTGGCATGTAACTATAGTGAGATTCCATGGGGCTACACCTATAAGTGGCATTAAGCATTACGGAATAATGCTTAATGTTTTTGTTTTGTTCTGCTCTTGCTATATAGTCCTGGCTTGCCTACTCACTATGAAGCCCAAGGGAGCCCACAAACATCAGTTCTCCTGTGTCCTCTCAACTGATGGGATGAAAGGATGTGCCAACACACAGTGACTCATACACATTTTTCCCCACACAACTCTCCCTTCTCCTTTTGTAGGAATATAAGGAATTTTCTTCCTGTTTTTACTTAAGAGTTACCTGAATTCTGGATAGCACACGTTACATTCTTACTTCCACATCTTATTTCCTCTTTAATGATTAGTCACTAGACTGGCATGTGTTTTGCCTTTTGACTGTTGCATTTAGATGTAAATCCTGAAAGATAGTAATTTTGGCCTTTTATTTGCCATTGCATCCCCAGTGCTGAGAACAGAGCAAGTGTTTAATGAAAGTTGCTGTAGGATTAAAAGTCATTTATTTCCCTTCCCCGGTGATTTTATCCTGAATGAGAGCAAGAATTGTGCTAAGGGCACTGGCCAGTCTTGTACAGAACATAGGTTCCTTCCCAACACCCTTATGGCATCTCCCAACCATTTGTAACTCCAGTTCCAGAGAATCTAATGTCCTGTCCTGGCCTCTTAGGGCTCCATGCGCTTGCATGGTACACGGGCATATGTTCCAGCAAAACACCCATATTCATTAAAAGAAAGAATGGAGTTGGGATTTTTCTCATAAGAGTAAAAGAAATTTTAAAATAAGGAACAAACTGGGCACCTCACTGTAAAAGTCGTTATTCAATAACTGTGATATAACAACCACTCTGTAGCATTCTGTTTTAATGAGTCCTCTACTGGGCCCAGTGTTATACTGTGTTCACTCTTGGTATTCATAGAGGTTCCTGCTTTCAAACAAGGGGATGACTAGAAAAATTGCCTTTCCTTGTTTGCCATTACATCCCCAGTACTTAGAACACAGATAACACAGCAAATGTTAAGTAGAAGGTACTGCACAAATACAAGTCTTTCTGTTCTTTTTTTTTTTTTCTAGTTATGATCACAAACAACCAGGGAAACACTCCTTATAGTAAGAGCTCCTCCCAGAAATCAGTGACTTTCCCCATGCTGCAAGTTAGGCAGAGGACGAGTGAGTGAGTAGACCCATTATAAAGTGAAGTAGAGGTTTACAAATCCCCTCCATAATATATGTTCCTAAGCATCCTGTTCATCCAGATAACAAGTGCTTTTGCAGACTGATATGATTTGATAAATGGTTTTTATTTGAGAGGGAAAGCATCAAGGAGAATGGCCTTGGGAAAGATAGAACTTAACCTGTTAGCAGGTGATCAAAATCATTTAAGGAAAACATGCTAGGAGCGGTGAAGGAAAAAGAAAGAGAGAGGGTATCTTTACAAGAATAATAAGGAGCTGATTGCCTCTTCGTGACCATGATTCTCTGAATACCATGTGAAGGGATCTCGCTGGAATAGTTAACCGAACTTTACGATAATAAGGTGATTTCACAGTGAAGGTTCCTACCTAAGCCCTTTCTTATTAAAAGACCTCATTAGTGAAGTTAGGCTCACCCGGACTGAACCACTGAAATGGTTGAGCCTTATTTTCACCCCTGTTCATTGTCCCCTAATCCATTTAGTTAAGTATCAGCAATTTCCTAGATCCTCTGAAACCTAAATTTTCTCTTTCACATTCTGTCAACTTAAACTAATGACTATCAGTTTCAAAAAAAAATTATAGAGCTACATTTATGTAACTTTGAGACTCAAAACTCCTTTAACCTGGATAATGAGCCTAGCTCTGTGCTCTGCTAATGTGTTCCTTATTTTTCTCATTGCTGTCAAATGGGGGCTGGCAAAGGCAACATGTGGAAGGTGAGGGAGGTATTGGCTCAAGAAGATACAATCTATCCTGGCCTTGAAGCCCTTTTGGCAGGAGCTGAAGTAGCTAGTGATATGCCTAGGCAATTGGGAAGCAGAGTGATGGATGCTGGTGCTAAAGGACCTCTTTTCCTTCCGTCCAGACCCTAGAGCTGTGGAATAGTGCCGCACAGAATTAGGGTGGCTCTGCCCACCTCAGTTAACCTAATCTAGAAGCTCTCATGGGCAGATCCAGAGGTTTGTTTCCATAGTGATTCTAAAACCCATCAAGTTAACAATGGAGATTCAGCATCACAGGCTAGATCTAACTGAAGATATACATTATGCAAAGCTAGGGTAAACCAGACTGTTTTAACAGTCTCCTCCTGTTCAAAAAAAAAAAAAAAAAAAAAAAAAAAAAAAAACCCAAGTCTGTGAATGCAAGACAGACAGAGAAGAAGCCAGAGATGACTTCATAGAACAGCATTTAAAGGAAGGGTAGAACTTTTCTTTGGGAAATTATGGGGATAAAATGATTCCCTCTCAAGAGAAGGCTACACCATGACCTACAACACATTTTCCATGTTGACTAGACCATTAAAATGACTACCTGTTGAGAAATAATATTTGAAATTCATTATGACAGACAAAAGGCATATGACTGAAGAAAACCAGACAGAAGAATTTAAACTTGATGAAGTTGGAAATAAGGAACCTCTGAACATTTCAGGGAAATGCAATAACATGGTTAAAACTCGTGAGGAAAAGGATAAGTAGTGTCATTTAAGTAATACTGAGAATATGGGTTCTATTTCAGAATTAATACACAGGATGAACGTAACAACATCCTGGTCCGTGAATGTTCAGGAAAATAAAGACAATTAGAAATACAGTGCTATGACTACTACAGTGTATAACACGCAGGGAGGGACTGCTAATAGGTGGAAATTTAACGTATCAGAGAAACCCAGGAAGGGGTTACCATTGACTACGGAAAAGGCTGTAGTGCACAGGCCTAGACATACACATCTGAGAAATCTGCAAGAAGTTCAGTGAAGCAAATGGACGTAAGAGAACGGAGTTCGTGTGACAAGAGTGGACAAGAGGGCACCAACCTTGTAGGGCCTTGGTAGCTAAGGTAGTGGCTATTGTCCTGAATGCACCAGGGGCCAGTCTCAGGGAGGTTGTTTATTGTTTGTTTGTTTG